CACGGATAAATCGGCGTCAATGTTTTACGAAGCGCGACCACGAGGCAGGATATTTGGCGGGATCTTCCCGGGTGTTGGAAGAAATTGTTGCAGGAGAGAATCGAGACATATTTGGACGGCTGATAGCACAGCCGGGCGATACATTTTCTCGGCTGATGTTCTACATCGTCGGAAAAGGAAACGCGAAAGATTACAAACGGAACCGACGTGATTGTTTTACAATCGGGTTGGAACCGTCCATATGGAAAATAAAACTCTCGCGATCTTTATGGTAGTCGAATCTGAAAGTAATCTGTTGTGTCTAGCAACGCGAGGGACCGATTGTTTCGAAACTCGCCACACAGTTATTTCGTCCTCGCACGGAATTTTTCTGGTATTTTTATTAACAGCAAGGACACGTCAACTGATAATATCGGGTGTATACCGCGTATGCAGGCGTGTCGTATGTGCGTGTACACGAGAGAGAGAGAGCTCGCGCTCAGCTACGCGCTAAACGAATTAAGTGGAATGTACCCGCGTCGTGTCTGACCCAGTAGTGAGTACCTGCGTCGCGCCTGATCCGGTTGGAAGTGCGTGTCTAAATGTTTTCATTATCTTGTAGCACATCTGAGGTCGTGAGCGGCACGATTAGTGATTAAAACTGTTAACGGATTAAAGACAGTCCTAGAGCGTGAAGCACTCACGCTGTCCTCATCAGGATGAAAACGAGGAGTTCGGGAGCGGTCCGACTGACCCACTTCTTCGAGAATTCGAGGAAATTAATTTCACGACCGAGAAAAATATTCCATTCGGATGAATTGCGTAATTTTTTTCTTTACACGAGAACTCTCGGGTTTGCCTCCTGTGCTTTTATTCACGTCGATTCCTCCTCTGTGTCGTATCGCACGCCCGACTATATTTCTCTCTCTCTCTTTTTCGTCGATCACAATTTCGAGGATGGACTTTAAGAGATGCACGAATATAGTGTACTGAGGAGAGTAACCAGCCGCGTCTATCATCGGGCGATGATTAATCGGTCGAGTTCGGTTACGCGATGACGATGATTAATCGATGTACTACAACAAGAGACGCGCAAAAAGGCGCCGCGAAGAATAGCTTCTGCCCTCTTCGGTCCCCCGTGATTATTCAACTATATTTGCCGTATTCGCCCTTATAGAGGGGATGAATATTCGCGTCGCGCGTTACAGGGAAAGTCCATTAACACTTATTGCCTCGCTTTACCTTTCCTTTTACCCGCGCGGACTCTCCAGATACAAGATGATTTGCGACGCTAAAGCGCTTTGCGCAACGCGGCTCGCGATTACGTTGTACAAATAATAATCGTATCGCGTTGCGCCTTTGCTTTTACCGGCGGAACAATGAGTTTGTGCTTTAAAAGAATGAGAAAAACAGAGCCACCGTGTCAGGCCGGCACAGGTATTCTCTACTTTGTGTCAGCAACTTTATTTATTTATCGACATCTCTTAAATTTGTGAGAAACTGCATTCCCGATTCTTGCTTGCAGCGGTGATTTCTTGCGCTTTAAACAATCGGAAGTTATTCCCGTTAATTCTCCACTATGACTCGTGTAAAAAGTTTCTCGGTATCTAATTGGGATCAAGTTCGATTTCTCAAAATGATGAATTCTAGATGGGACATCTACGCAGGTTTTAGATAGAAGTATAATGTAAAGATACGGCTCTAAGTGAAAAACACAAACAGATCTTATTTGGTAACCTCCAACGTTTCCTTAAAGATTACTTATGGTTTTCATTTTACATTACGATTGAACGAGATTATACGAAACACTTTAAGTATTTACATTTTACAAGTACACACGCACATACGTTACATACACGCTATTAAGAGCATAAACATTTAAAAATATATAGTTCCGTTTATTAATTTTTTAATCTCTGATATTCGGTCAAACTGTGACTCGACTCTGGCGATGACAGTCGCATGCGGCGGCTTACAACCAATCAGCATCGTGGAAAAAAGGCTTTATCCCATGTTTGGGATAAGAATGGGATTTTTAATTGATATCGTAATGGGACAACTTTGAATATTTTAATCGGAATCTATGCTATGTATGTGGGAATGTCTGGGAACATTTCTGTGCGAGGATTTCTTCGCTCTCGAAATAAGACGTGTATCGTTGTCTCGCGAATATGGAATACTGCTACCAAAATTATCTATATCGCTCCTATTATACGGTCGGATTGTCGCGAACAATACGGCGACCCGAGCACTTCGGAACCGCGTCATTGGCAATTTCGTACCGGGGGGAATCAGTTAAACTCGCTTATCGAAGAGAGAATCTATGGGCGTTTACGTGGCTTTAGCGAATACCAATGGGACATGGACGAATGCGACCGGTGACTTGTGTCGCTCTCGCGGATATTTGCTGTTGTGTAGAGCGCAAAAGGATAATATGCCGATTGTATTCGCATCCGTAAGTGTGTGTGTGGACGCGAAAGAGAGAGAGAGGGCGAATGGACGCGTGGATGTGTGAAACGACCGCGTTTCTTTTTTCGCGCGATGAATAGGTCGGCCATATGCACAAAGGCTGCTTCGAATTCTCGATATCGCGATCCGCGGAATGAAAGCGGCGAATGGATAACACAAAAGGCCGCGACCGACAGGCTCAATCTCACCTGGCATTCAACGCCGTCGTAGCGTGTACACGCGCACGGCTGTGTGGGTGATGAAGTTTTTTTTTGTCCTGCTTGATAGTCGCGAGCCTCTCTGCCAATCTGTTTATCCATATATGTATGTATATACGTGCAACCGACTCGCACAGAGCTGAAAAGTGGCTGCGACGATAAAGAAGTAAATACACGGTGGTGTCGTCGAGTCCACCTACATGTCGTCCATAATTCACCGATCGTTATTTGCACCGACTCGTTCAACTCGCGAACTCGCCAAGTCGCCCCCGTAATAGATACGAGACTCGAGGGACGGCTGTCGGAGAATCATCGTCGAAGTCTCCCTGGTCGAGTCTGGTAATGAAAAAGGAAAAAAATCAATCGGTCTTGTTTGATGGAATAACAGTTTGCTGAAGCAAACTTACGTACCGTAAACCATCTCTCGGCGTTCGCGTAACGATTCTGTGGTATTTCATTTATCATTAAAAGCAAACTCCAAGAGTGTTTTTCGTAAACAATTTCCGCACGTGCAACCACGGATACACACTTGGGGATTTTTCGAAAATTTGTGGACAAATTAATCACTGATATTAAAAATAATAATAAATATCAGTAACAACTTTATAACGTAGAGTCGTATCTACGTTGAAAGGTTTATCGTTCTCCAACGGACAAAAAAAGACTGCCTCCTGTGAGGTTTGAACTCACGACCCCTGGTTTACGAGACCAGTGCTCTACCACTGAGCTAAAGAGGCGTTCTGATTCGTCCGAGGGTATTTTGCACCCTTCTATTCGTCGCACGATGCATCTCGGAATTGGCGCGGCGGATCAAAAAATCAAATTGATCACGCACGACGACACAAACGAGCACTCTCGGCCGACAGTTTTACCTTACCTTTCCGATAGTAATCGCAACAATTCTCCTGAAAGCTCAAGGGTGAAAGAGCAGAAATTTTCGAGCGACTGACGAAAATGAAAAGCGGAAAAGTTGAACGATTGCGCGCTTGAAACGGCGACTAATCGGCGATTCACACACCGTGTGACGAGGAAAACAAGCGCGTACATGAAATAGCAAGGGTGATACTTTTTTCAATCACGAAGTTCGAGAAGAATAAAGTCGATTCGACCGGCGCATTTTCGGCGGAATATCGTGAAAGAATTTCCGAAAGCTCCACCCGCCGCACGCCTGTCCGAAGATAACACGCGCGTCCGATACACCCTGTGTCCACCTGTCAATAAATACAGCCGACACGTGTGGCCGGTCGCTTCGGCGTGTGACGGTGCGAGGGCGCGAGGCTTTGTTCCCGCGGTGGATAAGCGCGCCTGATAACGTGTCTCGACACGCGACCGGCCAGCCAGCCGGTGTATTGACAGCTGTGTGTTGCGCCGCGCCTTAACTGCCTCGTGACTCGAGGCGGCGCGAAAACGTCAAGGCGACACAATGGCGCGCGCGCGCACGTGGTATCGCGCGTGTGTCACGAGCGTCCCGGGGGAACAATGCACGCGCGCGGGGATATTTATTTATAAGCGACGCGGCGTCATGACATGCGCCATGGGAAATAGGACAGGCTGCTCTCTCGTAGCAGAGGCGGCGACAAAAGTCAAAGAAGAGAGAGACCGATGCGTCGTCGGCCGCGCCGCAGGCATCGCTGCGGCGAACGCTGCTCGTCGTCCCGTCTATGTCATGTCGTCGCGGCGACGGCTGGATCGTCCGGGCGGTAAATCGAAGCGCGTGTCGTCGTAGTCGTGTGTAGTCGCTGCGCGAATGTCTCCGTTGCTGTCGTCGTCGCTGCCGCCTTCGCGTCGCGAGTCGCAGTTCAAATGTCGTCGAAGCAGCGGAGAACCCGCTCCCGATTCAAGGTACCGTCGTCGCCGAGGTTAGGCCCGCGGAACGTCTCTTTAATTAGATCGCCCGTTCGCTCAAACATCCCGCTGCCTAATAATCGCTTCCTGCCCATCTCGGGCTGTTAGCAATGCCATTATCGATTGTTTATAGTCAATAGACCATTCGCTTGGCTTCAATGTATTCGCACGTCGTCAAATGTCGAGGCTCCATTGATGCCGCGCTCCCGGGATTTCCCTTGCTGGACTCGTCGCGCCTCGTTCGAGAGATGCCGGCCGCTTTTAATTCACCTGTTATCTCGAGGACTGTTGCTCGCATGTTTCAGTCATGGATTACTTGAAATTTGTCGTTTCACCGACGTATGAGAGAATATGACGCATCATGAGTTTACATTTTTCTCGTTGAATTTATCATCGTATCACTTTGTTTTTCTCTTTTAGCATATGATGACATAATACATGATGTAATATGACATATTATTGAAGCATTATTATATATGATTACAAGGTGTTTTGTTTCTTATGTGTCAGGTGATAACTCCTCTCAGATCATTGGTTCTTTGTGGCGAAAACAGACAAGACATGGAGGAGTGGCTGAACGCAATTAGAACAGCGACAGAGAGTCGTTCTCAGGGTGATCCTGGAACTGCCGAGTTACTAGGTGGTAACCATCAGTGGTATGCAACTAGTCATGCCAGACCTACGTATTGCAATGTCTGCAGGGATGCTCTGCATGGTAAAGAGACTGGTATTCCTATAACTACACTAACAATATAGTCAAAATTATTCATATCAAGTCTAAGAATCAATCACAAATACACACAATATCGTTGCAGGTGTTACTTCCCATGGTTTAAGTTGTGAAGTGTGTAAATACAAGGTGCACAAGAGATGTAGCGCAAAAGCAATAAACAATTGCAAGTGGACCACTTTAGCATCCATTGGAAAAGATATTATTGAGGACCAAGATGGGGTATGTATATATATATATATATATACATGTATGTATGTATGTATGTATATATATATATATATATATATATCTTTGCTTTATTTGCGACAAGAAAAATCTACTCTGACTCAATTGAGCACGCATTAATTTTCATTGCAGAACATCACAATGCCACATCAGTGGATGGAGGGAAATTTGCCGGTGTCCTCAAAATGTTTTATCTGTGAGAAGACTTGTGGCTCTGTACTTAGGTATATTCATTACGATATCGTTTTCACATAAGAAATTGATGGAGAAGTTATAGTCGACGTGTCGTTCATAGGCTTCAAGACTGGCGGTGTTTATGGTGCAGAGCAACCGTACACACAGCGTGCAGACCTGCCATAAGTATCAAGTGTCCACTAGGGCCAGCTAAACTCAGTGTAGTGCCTCCTACGGCTTTGCATAGTATAGGTAATCGTCAAACTCTTGCAGAGTATGTAGAATGCAGTGTCTTACATAATGTTAATAAAATGACCATGCCCTGTGCAAAACTATCAGGTAGCGATGAAGCCTGGGAAGCAGTTAGACCTACGGGATGCAGTCCACTTTTAGTATTCGTAAACAGTAAATCTGGTGACAATCAAGGCATTAAGTTTCTTAGGAGATTTAAACAATTACTGAATCCCGCACAAGTGTTCGACCTTATAAAAGGAGGACCAGGTCCAGGGTAAGCGGCTGATCCTCGTATGATAAAACTGTCGATCAATCGATAATCTCCGATCGATTTTTCCATCATTTCGCCGGCGGGTTAAGCAAGCATGTCGAATATATGAATCGCGTTTTCTGCCCAGATTAAGACTGTTCCGTCACTTTGACCCTTTCCGGATTTTGGTGTGCAGCGGGGACGGATCCGTAGGATGGGTTCTTTCGGAAATCGATCGTTTAGGAATGCACGTGAGTAAAATTATATCTCTTATAAGAATCGACTACTTCACTTATTAGGCATGAATCTTTAGCTTTTTTTTTTTCTCGAGTCAATTGCGTTCTACCAAGGCTGCACTAATCCAGCATACTTCTTTCTTTGCACAGCGATTTAGCATAGCGATAATTCTTTGCGTGCATGCAATTAAATTCTATCATAATTGCAGTATGCGCGCTATTGTCAAGCTCTCGGAGAAGCGCTGTTAGCAAATTGTTAACATTTTTATCTGCGACCTTGCGTTAACGTGCATTGGCATATTACTAGCCTAAGCTGTATTCTGATAATTAGATCTATGAAAGATATTGCAGCTGGTGGTATTAATTTCATCAAGTTTCCGATTATAAACTGCATGGCGTGTCTCTTTTATGATTTTATTCCAGATGAAACTGGTGTGTGTGCTTTAGGCTTCTTTGTATATGCGAAGCTTCGTTAACTTTATTTACAGGCGGTAAGTGTAAACTCGCATGACTAATCTGACTATTTGTAGCAGTCAATAAAAGATATTACGAATACATACTATTGAATAATATACTATGCGCGTGTATCTCACGATGACGAGACTTATGTTTTTTCTGAAATTTGCAGAAGCAATGCCAGGTTGGAGTACTGCCTTTAGGAACGGGGAATGACTTAGCGCGTGTGTTAGGCTGGGGTGCATCGTGCGACGATGATACACATTTACCTCAGTTACTGGAGAAGTATGAAAAAGCAGGCACAAAGATGCTGGATCGGTGGAGCATTATGACATTCGAGCGCAGCATATCTCTGCCATGTCACAAAGTGACTTTGCATCAGCCTGACCCGGCTATAAAATTGAGCTTAGCTCACCAGTACGAAGACAGCGTTCTTGCTCATATAACAAACATTTTGCAATCTGATCAAGACAACGTAGTTATATCTAGTGCCAAGTGAGTAATGTCAATCGTGCTACTTTACACGTACGTTGTGGGCCATGTTGAACCGAAATCTTCCTCCGCAGAGTTTTGTGCGAAACAGTAAAAGATTTTGCAACGCATATACTGGAAGCCAGTCTAAACACAGGGGACCAACAATTGGGAGAAAAATGCGAAGTACTTCAACAAAAACTCGATCTATTGCTGCAGACATTGTCGAAGGAGGAGAGTTATTTATTCGATAACGGGGAGGAAACTGACGCTGCTACTATAAAAACCGATACGGTGATGAGCAGTAACCAAGAGAAAGGGGCCCTGGAAAAACCGGAGAAGGAAATGACAAATCTAAAGAGAGTCAGGAAAAGAAGATGTTACATGGAGAAGGATGCTGTAATGTCTAGGTACATGTGCATACATTTGTATTGAAAAATAAAAAGAAATATATATACATGTATATCTTTTAATTATTCTGTTAGAGCGAATAGCTTGAAAAGAGCCATCAGAAGACTGGTGGAACACACGGAATTGGCTATCGATGAGCAGAACAATCCTTCGGACGAGAAACCATGTAGTAAGATGCCAAACATCACCATAACATCCGACAGTTCCCCGATAAATACGACGGGTGAGTTATTTACCCCGCGATGAAAATCGCATGATTTTGCCCCTTTAAACTCATTTTCTCGTTATATGTAATCTAGGTAAAAAACAGCAATTAGATATCCCCGGCTTACAAACTGACCAAATTGACAACTTCAGTTTAATGCCAACCATAGACTCCGCCAGCAGCTTGGATATTTCACCATGCCCCAGCCCTACTCCTAACGTGGCATCTTTAAGCCCAATGCCGGATTTGAGAAGAGACTCGCAACCCGAAGAGCTATTGACTCTCCCAGCGCCTGACGGGTTCGCCGACAGTAGAAGAAATAGCGAGAACATGCCGCAAGGGTAACTTTAGTCGATTCAACTCTCACACGACGGTACACCAATTTGATGCGATTCTAATAGTTACGCGCATGTGAATTTAGAGCTTTCAGTTTTGACGGGCCAGCAATGCAAACTGCCGGCAATCAGCTGGCAGTACAGGCTGATAACTTTCTGTCATCCGAACTCACACAAATAGAAGCGTCTTCCGACCTCCCGGTGACAGTGACGAGGACTACCTTAGATACAAGTACACCGTCAGACGACGCGACCACCATTCAAGACACTATCGTTTCTCCTGACACAGATTCGCTTCATTCTAGAAATATTTCGCCAGAACCTCACGCACAAAAGCCCTCGAGGGCTAGGGTAGAGCCGAGAGGCAGCTGTACCAACAGCATCATCAGTACGGACAGCATAGTCTCCGACACGTTGGACTCGAGGAGCTACACCGTTCGGAACAGCGAGAGCGAAATCGGTAAGCAGACCTTCGTTTACGCGATAATATCGTAGGAAGCGCTGTATATATTTGATTATACGTAATTATTAGATAATCCTTCTCACACTTTCCAGGTCATATAGACAGCGACATATTTGATTCGTCGAAAAAATCGGACAGCTCGGAGATTGGACACATCGACTCGCCGGATAATTCCGACATGTTCTCCAGCGAGACTCAACACTCGGAGAGCGTGATAGACGATCTCAGTTCCCTTGGGCAGGACTTGATCAGTACAATACTGGCCGAAAGGTACGATTCTGTTAGAGAATGCTTGGAGTCCGAGGAGATCGAGAAACCGCAGAAATTTTGCAGTTTAGCACAGTTCGTCGAAGGAAACGACATCGCGAGGCAGTCATTCAAAAAGGGCCCGAGAAATATAAAGACGGACAGAGAAGCGAATATCGAGGTACTTTGGAAAATTCATCAATTTCCTGAGATTATGTAGATCAAACGTTTTGCAAGCTCCGAATGTACATTACGTCTTATTTTCGTTTTAGCAGGGAATATTCAATAAATACAAAACGGACGGCCTGGCAACGTGTGTGCGTGTATCGGGAAACAAGTCGATGCAGCCCGTGGAGACGGTGCCCGCAGCGTTCGGGAGTGTTGAAAGGGAAAAAGCGTCCGATTTGCTGAGCCCGGTATGCTGCTTCACCGTCTCATCGGACAACACGCCGGCCAACGAGAAATATTCCACAAATTTCCCACCGACGATCAGCGTCATCATCGATCCGCCAAGCCCGTCGATGTCGATTGAGAGCCACCAGGAGCTTAACTTGGATTACAACCTGGACCCGCAGATGAAGCAATACAGCGGCAGCAGTATGGAAAGACGTGAGTATCAAAAGCTGAAGTATTACTGCACGTGACAATAATTTATTCTCATACGTTAAATCGCACTTTTCTCGTGACAGTGAGCGTGGAGCTGCCCGAATCGGGCTTTTCTCCGCAAGCCACACGACGTATCAGCAGCGGTAGCTTACTGAAGGCATCAGAGGTTGTATCGTTGGCGGCTACCACGGCTCGCCTGGGCGGTTCGAGCGTAAGTTTGCGCAATGAGAGAGCGAAGTCGATGGACAAGACGGAGGATGTGAAGAAGCTTCCGATAATAAATCCTCTGGTCCGACTGCCCATGTGGCCAAGTGAGTGAAAAATGAGACAACCTGATATCTCCTGTGCGGTATAGTTAACGTGTCGTCTTTCCCAAATGTTTACAGACGTCAGTGGTGGGGCTGGCCTCATCAGTCAAGCGTTACTGGCGAACGCGGATGCTCTCTGTGCAGCGGTATCACCGTTGATGGATCCGGACGAGACATTGATGTAAGTTACATGTCATTCTGCAATTGGTATGTGCGAATCTTGTTCACCGCTAATTTATTCCGCATCACCTCAGGGAAGGTTACTTCGAGCGATGTGTCATGAACAATTACTTCGGAATCGGCATAGACGCGAAAATCAGTCTCGACTTCCACCATAAGCGAGAGGAGCATCCTGAGAAGTGCCGGTCGCGCGCGAAGAATTACATGTGGTACGGCGTTCTGGGATCTAAACAGTGGCTACAGAAGACCTACAAGAATCTCGAGCAGAGAGTTCAACTGGAGTGCGATGGTCAGAGGATACCGTTGCCATCTTTGCAAGGAATCGTCGTGTTAAATATACCAAGGTATATTCCAGTTGACAGTGTAATCTCCGGCACTCGCGCGCCATTCTTGACGATTTAATACGAGAATTTTGCTCTGCCAACAGCTTTATGGGCGGTACGAACTTCTGGGGTGGTACAAAGGAGGGAGATCTGTTTCTAGCACCGTCGTTCGACGATCGTATATTGGAGGTGGTGGCGGTCTTCGGGTCCGTTCAAATGGCCGCGTCGCGGCTCATTAATTTGCAACATCATAGGATAGCTCAGTGCCAGACTGTTCAGATTAATATCCTGGGAGAAGAGGGCGTCCCTATACAGGTGGACGGTGAGGCTTGGGTTCAACCACCCGGAATTATAAGGATTATACACAAAAACCGCATGCAGATGCTTTATCGAAATAGGGTGAATATCCATCTTGTATTGTTCTTCCTTTGTTGACGATGTTGGCCTACGAATAATTGGAAAATGTAATTTCGCGTCGCAGGCGCTCGAAACATCGTTGAGAGCGTGGGAAGAGAAGCAACGTAACACGTTGAGCGTCGTAACACAATCGACCTCTACTCTGAGCAGTACGTTGCAGTCGCAGTCTAGAGTACAGTTGCAAATAAGCGGCAAGCCTTCGCAACTGAATGAAGAGGAACTCAACATTCTGTTCAGCTTCATCGAAGCTGTGACCACTTTGGTGAAGTGGGTGAAACTACTGATTATATCGCATCCAAGCTTGGAGCCGGATTTGTACCAGGTTGCCTCGCGAACAGCCCAAGCCCTCGAGCAAGTACATCCGGACGGTAAAATCTTACAAGGGGTAGGTGAAATTTCGAGTCATTAGAGACGTGCCAGAAATATATATTGCGATCGAGACTCTATCTGTGCTTTATTTTCCGTCAGGTGAGTTTGAGACCCATGGTGACCGAATTGGTATCAAGCTCCCGACAATTGTACGAAGAATCCTGCGAATTGCTACGCGATAAGGCCCATAATTTGGTAAGTGTCTCAAATGTCTTTCCATTAGACATTTCTGAAACTTTTGTATCAGAGTGCTGTTTCGTTCGTTTCGTTCGTTCAATTAACGTTCACTTGCGCGTATAAGCAGAGGCTACGAGAGGACTTGGAAAACAAATTATCCCTGGCTCTGGCTGGTATGGAACAAGAGTTGCGAAAGTGCACTTTTGACGAGAGAGGTACGGGACTGGTTTACTTGCAGAACATTGTCGTGGACGATCAGGTATAGTTCCTTCTTATGATCTATGTAATGCTGTTCGAAATCAAACTTTTCTAAATTACAAGTTATGAGATCAACTATTCTCACGTTTATCTGTCATGTATTCTGCATTGTGATAAAGTTTTACATCTTGTGATATTTATTATATACGTTTAATCGACGGGGAGGGAGAAAGATAGCAAGTATACTTACTGCAAAACTAATACATGTAGGAACGTTTCGTAAATATTTCCACTGTTCGAATGCGAGTTAGATTCATATGGATTTTGGACAAATATGACAAGTTTTATCCATTTTACACCCTTGATATTGTATAGCCTTGTCTATTTTTCACGAGGTTATCAAGTATTCGAGCGATACGCATTAGTATACCGATGTTGAAATGAACGATAGAGTTATTCATTGTTTCATCATATCATATATGTTTTACTCGTATATTCGATATTCCATCTTATCTCTCACTGAGAGATATATATTCCGAAAGAAGAGTAAATGTAAAAATAAACTGTGATGACGAACTATTTGGATATAAACTAACAAGATATACAATATTATGAAAGCACCTCTCTTTCGTACATCAGACACGAAAATTGACAACTTTTTTTGAAAGAACTTCATAATTCATTATGCGTAAATGTTTTCAAATGATAATTAATAAATTATCCTATGCTTTATTTCGGATTGATTGAGTGCTCAATCCCAGTGCTGGTAATATGCTTTTAAGTCTTAATGCTTATGACATTAGTAAATAGAGATTAGCGTTAGAGACTTAGTTTTGGCGATGTAGCGAGATATGGTGCGGATTAATTTTGTACATGTCTGTATGTATCGTACGTGCATGTTACATCCGCTAACAAGTGGATTGCCATCCAGATGTTTTCGTTTATTTCACACACACACACACACATACACACACACACACACACACACACACGCTTGGATCTACTTATATAGTTCACACAAAATGGAAACGCGCGAAAGCAGACGACTTACTTGGCGATGCTGTTGTACCTATTCATTTACATTAGCAGAAGTAACACGTCCGAGTATGTGCACTTGAACAACACGCAAACTTAACTTTTGCTTTCGTTAGCGCGCCTCCGCTGCTGTGCCTCTCATGATTTCGTAAGAGCCGATAGATCGTTGCACGATCTGTTTTAATTAGCACTTAACAACGAGAGGGGAACTTTCGTGATTTTTATATGAGCCTCATGAAAGATGTAAATTGTAGCGGATATATATATATATATATATATATATATATATATATATATATATATATATATGAATCTCGCTGAAGTATAACAATAATAAACAATGGAATATCTGACATTGTTTTATTGATGTACACCGGATTTGCGATATTTGCGGTACTCGTGCGAATATTTTACGGAAATACGGCGGGTAATCGCCACTCTATGTCGCGCGAATGACGATCGCGAGGTAGACGCGCGAGTGAGAAAGAGCTACTTTGTGTGTGCCTGACGAGTCGTTATCACATCCCGAGTGCAATTTCTCCACCTGCATATGATTAGCATGTCTCTCTAACGTATGTCGTTAAAATAGCGTACCGCTTACACGCGTATACTAATCTGACTAACCGTTCACTAACCGAGCTCTCGAACTCTGGGTCTGCAGGGTGATAAAAAAAATCGTCATCGAGGGTTGTTCTGGTTAAAGTTCCGTCGCTTCACCGGCAACTCGAGCACCCATCCGGCGCGGGAGCAGGTCACCACGTGGGGCGTGCAGGAGGTCTGCACCTGGTTAGAAAATCTGCAGTTGGGCGAGTACGCGGACAAATTCGTGTCGCATGATATACGAGGTAGGGAGCTGCTGACGCTAGCCCGCCGCGATCTGAAGGAGCTGGGCATCTCCAAGGTGGGGCACGTTAAGCGCATCTTGCAAGCCATCAACGACCTTAACAACTAAGTCGCACGAAGAGCGTTAGCATTGAGTTTACGTGTCTACTGAGAGCGAGGATACGATATTATCCTCTGTGCATCATTCCAAACAAGAGAAATGTGCAACTATAAGTTGTTTGAGCAAGAGAGAGAGAGAGAGAGAGAGAGGGAGGAAGAATAATTTGAATATTTGACAAAGAGAACTTTCTTAAATCTGCTAGATCCACATAGAGGATAGGTAGAGAGAGACATTGTTATATTCTTGCCCTAAATGTTAATTACTTCAACTTCTGAGACAAACGACATCATGGGTACTAAAGAGGACAATATTCGTCACGACGAATATTGCTCGCGGCGAGTCCTTCCGGTGTTGTTGTTCGAAGGGAGGAACCACTTCGTCTGTGCCAAAGAATATTTATTCTATATTAGAAGTCACACGAAGAAAAGCAAAAGGTAAACTTGTCAACTCGTCGACAAATTTACGGCGCGATTCTATTTATATACACATACCACTCATATATACATGCACAAATATACACGCGTTCACACAACACACACACACACACACACACACA